AATCAGCAAGAACTTTTTCAAACTAAAGGCAATGTATACAATGCTTAGAAAGAGAATGTCACCATCAGGAATATTTAGCTGATGGATCAGGATTTCCAAAAGTTCTGCTCTAATGAGTGCTGCCTGCAATTCTTGTCTCGCCCTGAACATTTCTCCTGAAAGGGAGAGCTGGAAAGAATCCATAGTGCTTTCAAGAGCAACCACATTCAAAGGAGTTCCCAATGTTGAAGCATGCATGTGTGTCAAGGTTAGATGAAGTGGAACAGGCAAAATCACTGTACATGGTAACAATGACATCATCCCACCAGTCCTGCTACTTCTAATGAAGGATTGGAGTCTTGGAGGGCAGGAGTGGAATAAAGTTGCACAGGAACTGCTGTTCCCACTTTCACTACATAGAAAAAAATGAATCAGAGCAGTTCTTCTGGTCTGGAGATGGCCAGGGCCTATTATTAAACTTCTTACAGCTCGCTGGAGAAGCAGACCAGAACTCAGTGTTTGCTCATTTATTCTCAAAAAAGAGATATTATAAATGTAGACTCTGTAACTCCCAAACCTACCACAGTGACCTTATCACCATGAACTGATAAACAAGTTAAACAATTAACTATCCCTTAAAGGATCACTGTTAAAATAAATTGAAAGGAATCTTTAATTACAAAGTCATTATTCCGAGTGATAATGCAAAACCCAGCAAAACCCACAGGTTGTTCAGGGCCTCAAGTATACCAGCAGAAACTCTGCTCCCTCTCCAAGAGCACCCAGTCACAAATGCAACTACAAAAGGGAGGCAGACACCCTCGTCAAACAATCTCAATATCTCTTTAATGCTCCTTTAAGTGCCAATAAACCAATTAAACAAAACTAACTTGTGGCAGCCACCCTCAGAAGGGACATTAGAACAAAAATTAAAATTAAAATTGCGAAGCTGCAAATTGGAATTAAACTTTGATGCAGGGTATGGGAGAGAGATGATGCATACCCTATAGTACTCACTCATTGTGAAAAGCGTCAAGCATACCAGTGGATACCTGGCTCTGGAAAAAACTAGGAAAGGGGCAGGAAGCCATGTTGAACAATCCCAGTGTCTCTTTATACTGTTTTGAGTAGAACAATGAAACAAGTACACTAATGAAGTGTGTCTTTATATCTGCACAAGTCATCATGCAATGAGTGTCCCTAATGACCATCACCCGCACATGCAAACATAATTTATAGAGCCAATAACCACATCTTTTGTATGAGAATGGTCATAGGTACCTTCAAACAGTTGTATAATTCTACTGGAAACAAACAGAAATTTCTGGAAAAGCTCAGTAGGTCTGGCACCAAATGTGAAGGGAAATCAGAGTTAGCGTTTCAGGTCGAGTGGCCCTTCCTCAGAACTGATGGTAGCTAGGAAAATGTTGGTTTTGTAAGCAGAAGATAGGGTAGGGGGAAGAGGATACGGAGTAAACAAAAGGTGTGACAGAGTCCAAAACAACTGGCACTATTTCAGGTTTGGTGCTTTAACAATAAACGGATGGAAGTTACTTATGTTAACAGCCAGACTTTGTTTTGATCATGCTATCTGTACTAACTGCTGAATTACATGACCAAACTATATTAGTATATATTTCATAAAGACGAACTTGTACCTCAAACAATGTGTTCAAATTTGTACAATAAATTATAGACATGATGATAATCAATTAAAACTGCATTAGAACCAATGCTGCCAAGGCTTCTTAGTCAATTTCGCCCTTCTTCCGCTAACAGGGGCTCATGCAAGGATACAGTTACACAGAGGATAGGCTGCTTTCTGGTACATTGCGCATAAGAAGGTATGGGTGGTGCAGATTTGCAGGCTAATCAATAGCAGATGGTTTTACTGCCAAGCACGATTCCCACTTTCACTACATAGAAAAAATGAGTCAGAGCAGCTCTTCTGCTCTGGAAATGGCCAGGGCCTATTATTAAACTTCTTACAGCTCGCTGGAGAAGCAGACCAGAACTCAGGTGTTTGCTCATTTATTCTCAAAAAAGAGATATTACAAATGCACAATCACAACCATACACTTCCCAGTAGGGATCACGGGATAAAAAAAAAAATCAGAAAAAAAACCTAGCTGTTTTGCTCCTCACCATTTATCCATGATGGCTAGGTCTAATTTTGGTTCAGAGTTACATTTGAGGCTAAGACTTGCTAGAAGAGGTCAGAGGCTGGGAATTTCGGGGCGAGTAACTTATCTCCTTTCTCCCCACCCCCTTCCACCTTCTACAACACAGGATTCAGGAGCTTGACTGAATACTCTCCACACTTGCCTGGATGGGTGGCGTTCCAACAGAACACAAGATGCTTGACAACATACAGGACAAGGCAGCCTGTTTAATCGGTACCTGATCGACCTCCTTAAATATTCACTCCAATCATCGCAGATACAACAGGAATGTTTATCATCTACAAAATACATGTAGGAAAACATCAAGCTTTCTTTTACACCAACTTACAAACCCATGACCTCTACAACCTAAGAGTAAGGGTAGCAGATATATGGAAACACTTTTACTTGCAAGTTCCCCTCTAAATCACATTCTAACTTAGAAATAATTGTTATTGCTTTCTTATCCCTGGGTCAAATTCTGGAACAAGTCTAACTACCTTGGTGCACCTAGATCACGAGGACCACGTGGAAAAATTGCCTAATGTGACAAAATCTACTGCCGTTGTTTTTTTTTTTAGAAGAAGGTACATTTGCAAGATCAGAAGAAATACTGGGTTTTTTAAAACAACTCTGGATATAACAACCAAAACGGCACCAGAAGAAGACTAAAGGGGCATTTAATACTTCCTAGGGAATTTTGGTCCTTCTTTAATTTGCAATTATTTAGAACTGACAACATTTTTTCTCTTTTCTCATGAGGGAGTAGAGGTTCCATTTGGGATTATACAGTTTAAGGTCAGAGGTTATTGCTAAAATTTGGGGATAAAGAAATAACATCAGATTATACCACATTACAAAATTACTTATTTTAGGGAACAAGGCAAAATTATTGGTGTTGATAAATGATCATATAATGGATTTAAGGCCTCATTTCAATACAACAATTCACATTCATTTAATGATGATAATTATATTGTTTTCTGCTGGCTGATTTATATAAAAATAAGAAAGTGGTCGTAATTGGTGTTCACTTTCAAACGTTTACTGAATTGGATTGAGTTTCCTGTCTTGACAATTTCAAATATCTTTCATGATTGACCTAATTAATATCTGAATTGATTTTTTTTCAACATATCATGATGATTTGGGTAGGAGAGATTTTTTGATACATTAATTCCTAATTTAGCCATAGAAACCTGTTTTCATTTGAAAAAAATAAAAATTAAAAATACATTCAGTCAGCTAATTGCAAATGAATGAAATGTTAAATGTCTGTTTTTGCAAGTAGCAATGATGAATAAAGACAAGTTCCATCATGTTGCATCGTGGGCAAATAACCTACTCAATTCTCAGTGACTGGCTTTCAGTTCTTGTCTGAAACGTGGTGTTGAGGGAATGGAGAAATTATGCGAAAGATGTTTAGTGCATTAAGCTTTGATTTTTATTTTTTCAAATGAAAACAGATTTCTATGGCTAAGTTTGGAATTCATGTATCAAAAAATCTCTCCCACCCAAATCATGATGATATGCTGAAAAATAAATCAATTCAGATATTCATTAGGTCAATCATGAAAGCAATCTGAAATTGTCAAGATAGGAAACTCAATCCAATTCAATAAACGTTTGAAAGTGAACAGCAATTATGACCACTTTCTTATTTTTATATTAAATCAGCCAGCAGAAAACAAACAAAAAAAAAAATCAGAAGTCATGTTACACTAGCTACTTTGGTCAATTTCTGTTTAAAAATTGCTGCAGCTAGAGATATGAGGAATTGATGCACAACTGTTTGAAACCAAAGCAATGAGAAGAGCTGCAATTAGAAATAACAAGGTGTAGAGCTGGATGAACACAGCAGGCCAAGCAGCATCATATGAGCAGGAAGGCTGACGTTTCGGGCCTAGACAAGTTTTCTCTATTGTATCCAGTTGGCTGAGAAGTTCAGCACTTATCACCTCCTTATGCTTAGAGGTGGATAAGAGGTGAGTTACGTATGTTTGCAACAGACTAAAAGAGAAAGATTTCAATGCCTGTGACATGCAAAATAGTCCGTCCCCGCCTCCCTAACTTGTCCTTCCTTCCACCTATCCCCTCCTCCCACCTCAAGCCCCACCCCCATCTCCTACCTACTAGCCTCATCCCGCCCCCTTGACCTGTCCGTCCTCCCTGGACTGACCTATCTCCTCCCTAACTCCCCACCTATGCTCACCTTCACTGGCTCCAACCCCGCCTCTTTGACCTGTCTGTCTCCTCTCCACCTATCTTCTCCTTTATCCATCTTCTATCCGCCTCCCCCTCTCTCCCTATTTATTTCAGAACCCCCTTCCCCTCCCCCATTTCTGAAGGAGGGTCTAGGCCCGAAACATCAGCTTTCCTGTTCCTCTGATGCTGCTTGGACTGCTGTGTTCATCCAGCTCTACACCTTGTTATCTCAATTATTATTGAACTTGCTCAACATGTTCAGCTATAATGAACCAAACAAATAATGAAACAATATTTGATTTTCACCAATGATCCTACATCTTAAACAGTACCTTATGATATTTAACATGCAGGTAAATTGACATTTTTATGTAATGTATGTTTTATAGTCCACAGACCATTAAAATGGATTCACTTAAACCAAATCTGATAAGCAAATAACTGGATTTAAAGGACTTCCTAATTTACATACTCGATTGCATGTTAACATTACATTTCAGAATTGCATACATTACGTAGACATAACAGAGTCCTGTTTAAATGATATCTATGTTGTATGTTGTGCTAAAACTAGCACCAGTAAGTGCAAGGAAAAGAGCAAAATGCATACAAAGACTGGTTGACTTACAAGAATGAGAATTTCAGTACTTCCTGTTGGAGAATTAAAAGCTTTTTAATGTTAAAACTTTCAAATTTGTCTGTTATTGGCAATACTCAAGTGTTTTTGTAAGTCACAACTGTAGCAATACTACGTTTGCCCCTTTGATCACGCATTCGCCATTCTCATCTCCAGTCCACAGTGCAAATACAGAAAGGATTTAGTTCAATGACCACAATAGCCTTGCCATTTTCCAAAATAAAAAGGCAGCATTTTGTAACTGTAAACCGTAACATTGAAAGCTACAAGCAAAACAGCAACATGCCATGCCACAGAACATGTTTACTATTTATTAGCTTCCACATTAGCCAAACACTAAACAGAAGAAAGTATAGTGCAGGGCTTTGGCTAACATCTTTGTGCATATAATTGGCCTATATGATAAATATTCAGGAAATGCACTCCACTACTGCAGAAATGTAGACATTGGCACAGTGATTGCTCGTGGCAGTTCAACTTTTTGGAGATTATTAACAGCAAATTTCTGTTCTCATTCATTGCAGAATATTTTCACATCTTTCTTCACTGTTTCAACTGCTGTATTCGTTTTCCACAGCCACTTTGCTAAACATGTAAGGACACCAAATCTTGAAAAATATTCATCTTTCACATGAATTAATTAAAACCTATTGAATTAAAGAACTGCATAAGACAAACAAAACTCTACTTCTAAAACATTTAGTAATTTAAAGCCAAGAATATTTCTCACATCCCCAGAAACCACTCGCGTATTTCTGAGTTTGATTAAACCTTATTTAAAGCATTATTTTGGGCAAATGGTTCATATCAAATATACATGTTAATTAAACCTTTAGTTATACACATCAGTTTCTCTGACAGATTGCCAGTCTTACAGTAAGGCAACAAGTCCCAAAAATAAAGCTTGATTTTACTATGCAAAAAATACACTCTTACTATTAAAGTCTGCAGTTATTGATAAAGTAAAGTTTGTGCATTTCATGTCAGAGAAGCTCTGTAGCCAAGTTGGGTACTTACTTTCCAATGAAATATATTCTAATCAAATCTATGCCAAGTCTAGGGTAAGCCCTAGAAGATTTGTTGGCATATCCAGATAGGCTTGCAGGAATGGCTAAAAGTACAATAAGCAACTCTTTGGAATAAAGGGTTCTTTCCCCTGTGATTAGCAAAAGCACCTTCTTCCAGGCTGCACAGCTTCCTCAGAAGAATGAACAACATTAGGAACCACACCACTTTTAACACCTTCCCACCCTTCCTGGATGGATATGTTGCCTTTTTTCAGCAGCTCGTATATCTCTCGGGTCAGAATGGTGAAAGATTCCTCCACGTTCATCGAATCTTTTGCAGATGTCTCTATGTATTTCATACCAGATACAGCTGCAAGTTTCTCTGCCTCTTCCTTTGAGACTTTCCTTTGGGTCACCAAGTCACTTTTGTGTCCTACAAGCAGGAATATGATTCGATATGGCTGGACGTGCATTTTTGCTTCTTCCAACCAGTCACGCACGTGTTCAAAAGATCTACGATTTGTGATATCAAACACAAGCAACCCACCAACTGAATTACGGTAGTAGGAACGGGTTATGGACCTGAGATTGGAAAAAAAAAAAAGAGGTGTCAAAAAACAATTTTTCCTTTTAGAACCAGTGATCAATTACTTTAAAATTATTTTAGTGACAACACTTTACTTCTCGCTGTCAACGCAAAGTTACATGGTAAACCCCTCAAAAAAAAACTCCATTAGCTAATGCTAAAAGTCCCTTATAAAAATAGTGCAAACACTCCATATAAAAACACTGTCTAGAGTTAGTTTTGATCTCAATCAGAAATCTCTTGATGCAGTTCTGAGGTTTCTAACAGCTGCCTTTCACCCAAGTGCCACAGATAACTGGAAGAACTCTCATAGGAATTCACTTCCATTATGTTCAGCACCATCCAAACCATGAATGTACACAGAAACATAGAAAACAGGAGAAGTAAGCCATTCGACCCTTTGGCCATTCAAAGTAATCATGACTGAACATTCAACTCCGTATTCTATTCTTGCTCTCTCTCCTCACCCTTTGAGATAGTAAGAACTGCCATTGCTGG